TCTTTTTTTTATTTTTCCTTTCCCTTTTCCTCTCCTCTTTTCTCTCTTGTAGAACTGTAGTAAGAAAAATTTCATTGGTCTAGTTCTCAGAATATTCACAAGACAAATGTTCACATTCCTGGGTTTTGATTTTACTTTTATGAAAAATTTATCACAAAATATTACACAGAATAAAATTTTTGAACACTAGTGTCAAATATTAAGTATTTAACATAATTTTTCACTCTTCAAAGAGCAGGGCTATATAACAAAACTTACATAGCCACAAAATCATACTTATTCAATCTTATTTCTGCATTATTGGCTCTGATCCCCTGGAACTCATTGAAAAATTTACCATATATAGTAGTATGTCTTCAGAATATAGAAAAAGACTATTTATGCTGTAACTTTTTCAGCCACTTATGGCACAGAGTATACTATTAAGAGGATATTTAATCTGTTCTGCACAAAACGTATGTGTTGGAAGGTAAAATGTCTTTCAGAAATGTCTGAAGATCCCATAGATAATGTATCATCTGCTGCATTCAGTGACCTCAGAAGTTGTTTCCAATCTAAATCTTTCAATGATCTCTGATTTCAGCAGATCAGGATGGACACCTCAGATGGCAGTAGATTCTATCCAAACTATTATATGCCATCTGCCCTGGTAGGTAGGAAGTGAATATCTGGAATAGTAATGGGCTAAAGAAAACTTCTTGGTAACTTTTTTTCCAAGATAGACAACTTTAATTATGACAGTTATCCTTTTGATCAACAGGTTCTTTCTCTAAAACATCTTTTAGACTGTGTAAAATTATTCCTGTCAGAACAGAGAGCTTAACCCAGAGCCATTATCACACAGTTTCAGGAACAGTGCCTAGAGATTATATTGTTTGCCATAGGCATTTGATATAGCTGTTTACTCAATGTTTTTGCTGATGATTGAAGTTAGGGAAGTCAGAACTGAATTAAAAAATATTTTACCACTTTGTGTGTGTGTGTGTACAAAAACATTGTTTTCCTGCAGAATTTCTTCTAAATCCTAAAACCAGAGTATTTCCCTGAGTCTGTCATGACAGTGTCATTACTAAGTTATTCCAGTATCTTATTTCAAAGATTTTATCTTCTTAATAACCTCCCTCTCTGTATGTGCATATAGTATAACTTTATAAGTTCAATCAAAAAAATTTTATTACTACCTTTAATTACAGTGTATGTTCCATTTAAAGGTCTGGCAAAGAACCAATACTTGTGAGTTATTTTGAAAAGACGTTAAGTACTAACTCAACATGAGAGTGCAATATATGAATCCAATTGTTTAGATGTAATATCAATAGTCATTTTACACTGAAACATTTTCTGGTTTATAAAGAACAATACAGAAATAGACTAAAATATGTGTGTATTTATTGTGTTTAATCTCAGTTTCTTCCAAGAGACCTGGACATCTAAGCAATAGCATAGTCACTGAAGACAATAATGTTTACAGATTGGATCCATTTTGCCTAGATCTTACCTTACTTGGTATATTGTAGGTATGATATTACAACATTTGCTGACAGTCTGGTTTTAGGGGTTTATATCTTTCCTCCCTCCTCCATATCATTTCTTACCACTGTAATTTTACCAAGAGTCCCACTTAAAATTGAATAAAATTACCTATTTAATCTGGATAATTTACTAACATTTTATTTCCGGAGTTGAGATGATGACGAACTGAAGCAATAAAATTTAAAAATCTCTTTAACCTGGAATGTTAAAAATATCCTCTTACATTCAAACTAAGACAGTAGTTCACACCCTAAGCAGCAATCCAATTTTTTTTAATTATAAACACCACCTGTGATAAGAGATGGCACTCAAGTCAGTCTAAAATTATCTTTGGTTCTTAGCTTTATTTGTCTGTACACAGGCAGAGGTGTCATGAGGCAACTGGTAGCTACTTGTCTTTAAGTTTTGATAACAGTTTGGGGTTAGCCAACATTTTCTTATGGGTTCATGTCTCAGTCTGAGGAGACTGGAATGTTTGCTAAAGAGGATGAGTTATAAGATAGGCCAGGTTCTTAAGTTACTTTTCTAGTGCTCTTTTAGATGCACCTCTCTATTGAGTCTGGCTGAGGTGGAGTTAATTTTCCCACAGCAGACCTCACAGTGCTGTGCTTTGCATTGGTAGCTAGAAAGGTGTTGATAACACACCAGTTTGGCTACTGCTGAATGGTGGTGGCACAGCATCAGTACTGTCTCTCTACTTCCCACTGCCCACCCCCATCAAAGATTGGAAATGGGTAAGATCCTGGGAGGGGACAAAAACTAGGCCAGCTGATAAAAATTGACCAAAGGGATATTCTATACCATATGACATCATCTCATATATAAAAGCTCAGGAAATGAGGAGGAAGGAGGGCATTTATTATTCAGTGTTTGCCTTCAGGAGCAACTGCTACACGTGCTGAAGTCCTGCTTCTCAGGAAGTGGCTGGACAATGCTTGCTAATGGGAAGAAAATATACATTTTTGTTTTTTCCAAAAAAGATTGTGGTGAGTTAACCTTGTCTGAATGTCAGGTGCCCACTAAGCCACTCCTGTTTCCAGCTGGACAGGAGAGAGAGAACAAACCAGAAAACAACTTGCAGGTTGAAATAAGGGAGTTTACTAAAGCAAAAAAGAAAGCTTGCATGTGCACAAGCAAAGAGAAATAAAAGTCCCCTCCCAGGATCAAACTCCTGGCTGTATCACCAGTACCCACATCAAAAAAACAACAGTGGCTAACAGTCAGTGGACTGGATGAGGCTTGCTATTCTCTTGGTGACATCCCTGATACAAGCCCACAGCAAGCAGCACACCTCTCTAGAAAGTACATCAGGTCAGTACATTGATGCCAATTTATGCCCCAAAACAAGGCGCGGAGAAACTGCTCAGAGACAGAATTTCAGTCTATAAGCAGGAGGTATTTATTTCACGGCCGGGGAGCAGCCAGGTCGCCCTGGACAAACTGCTCCGACTCGAGAAACACACAATCCAACTTTTATACACCTTTTACTAAGCAATTACATCATATATTATGAATATTCATTACATTGCAACATCTGCTTTTAATATTCATAACAGGTGGAGTTGAGGCGGAGTTATAGGCGTGGTCCTTAATTTGGGGAGAACTTCGGTGGGAGTTCCGGTCTTTCTTCATCATGAGCCTCATGTCCTTTTCATCATCATCCTCCTAAACTTTTGAACCTTTCCTAATTTGGGTAGCTTCCTTATGAATTTGGCAGAGAGTTTTGGTATTTGGCACTAATACCTAATTTCTTGGCTTGTCCCTCTCTTTATCTCTTTGGTTTCCTCTCCATATGCCTTTTTTGTGTGTGCTAGCATTTTTTGTTCATGTTTATGTTCTTCTGTGTCAGGGTGTCCTGTACCTCAGTGAATTTATTGTCTCCGCTTTCCTAATACTGAATTCTATGTGCTTCGCTAAAGCTTGCATCTATATTTTGTGCTTAACTCTTTATATTGCTTAAATTCGCTTTTCAGGTGTTACCTGGCTTCATTTCCCCCCTTTTCTCAGAACTTACGAATTCCTTCGTCAAGTTCTAATCCTAAGGGGCGCTGATAGGCTTTCATCATTGCCCAGATTATTTGGGTTCTTTTGACTATGGATCTTAACTTATACCACAGACATATATTCATGAGAGTTAACAAGAACATGGCCATAGTTATAATCAATATGGGGTGTATTAGGTAGTGAAAGACTTGTGTTGCTGTTGGGGAGTATCCTATGAAAATGTCCCACCAATGATGCTGGCCTACTTGCGCAACTTTTGTCAGGATATTTTTTATACCTTTAGAATTATGCTCTACTTGCCACAACATGCGTTGGGTCGTTTGGTTCACCTTCTGAACTAACCTTTCTACTTCAGGATGCACAAGCATCTCTTTGAGAAGCTTAACATCCATGCCTATCTGTAGCTTGGGTATCTCATGATATAAAGTATACTCAGCTTCGATTAACTGCTGTGTAGTTATGGGAGCAGTGTAGTTAAAGTCACAACCCATGACTTTTGTGAAGTTGCATATGCAAAAGTTAGTATCGTTAGTCACTTCATGACAATTATCTATAGTAACATCATTACAGGCAGTTCTAATGCAAGCGCATCCATTCCCTATATAGAATACTTGTGATGGCGCTCTATTGTGTGGAAGCATTTCAAAAGTGCATACACTGTCTTCGGCATCTAAGCATAGATCCTCAGCTTCTACAATGGCATTTTCGCAGATATAACCTAATTGCCCTTTAGGAATACATGCTTCTGTACTAATTGATTGCCACTTGTTCTTAGTACTATCATAATTTGCCCAAACGCTATGGTCCACAGGTTTGACAATGACATTCTGATGCATAGCTCCTAATGTTAAAACAGGAAATATAACCCTTTCTTCCGCGGCACTAATAGTAAGGACATAGGTTTCAATGTGTTCCTCTTGTGGATCATAAGTGAAATTAACTAGTTGCCACCAAGCCTGGTGGTCTCTTTCAAACTGTGTGGTGGAACTACCTCTTAATATACTCTCCCTTATTTCCTGAGGCAGTATACCTGACATTCCTTCTCTTAATATTCCCGCTGCTACTGATTGTACCCATTGCTGTGTCTGAACACACTGGATAGCAAGTGCAATTTCTTTGCTAATCTCTCCAGTATAGTCAGCAAGTTTAACAAAATCTTCAGCGGTGTGGTTGGCTACTAAGGTCATCAATTTGACCACTAATGACTGTGTCTCTGCTAAGGTTAGCATAGACGAGCTTAAAGGTACTTTAAGCTTTCCCAAATTCGAAGTGACGGTACTTAATTTGTTCACTAATACTTCTTGGTCTATAGTGTTCAATATGCCGAACCCTGTACCAACCCATCCGCTTATATCTCTTTGTGTTCGTTTGCGGTGTGATCTAGTTGCTAACCAGGCATTCCAGCCTTTGAGGCTGTGCTGTATAAATGGTCGGCAATCTCCCTGTAAGTGTGTAATGTCTGTCTGAATGTTCATCTGTATTTTCTTCAGAGAATATGTAGGATCTAATAACAACTTTAGTTCGTTCGATTGTCTTATTACTTGAGGTCCTATAAAGGTTAAATTATGTATCTTCCTGCATTCTAGAGGCGGAGTGGTTTCACGAGACGGGCTCACAATCGAGTCTGTTGCTAATCTAATGGCCCGCTTAAAGGCTCTACCGGTTACAATGCCTTGTTCACCAATGGGTTCAAGAATCTTGGCTTCTCTGCTACATGAAAACGACATCGATTGATCTAGTTTGAATATAATTTCACACTGTGCTCTACCCCCTTCAGTACTATCCCATTGACATGAGACTGGTCCCTTCTGTTCAATCCAGACGATGGGCTTCCCATCTTCTACTTGGCTATGAGTAATTAAGTTCTGTCTAGGGGCTTCTTGCCAGAATTCAATTGTCAATGTTAGTTTATCTGTTTTTCCCACTAAAGCCTCGACTTCTCGGCATCCTACTTGAATTTGGTCTTCTTTTTGTGCTATGAAATGGGTTCCGCTATCCCATTCATCTATCGTATAGGGTTGATTGTTATGTAATACATAAATCTCAAAGTCTGGGTTTTCCTCGGAGCGTGGTAGTGTGCGTGCACTAGACCACGGCCCTTCTGGAGTAGGGTTTTGGGATAAAACAATACTTATCAAAAGTCCAATGATCAATGTTGAAAGAGCCGGATTCATGATGCCAGGTCTTCCCGCTTATCTTCTGGAGCTTTCTTGACTCGAGAGTAGTGAATCCATGTAGGTCGTTCTTTGATCCTAACCGCGGTGAAGGTGGTCAGCAGCACTTGGAAAGGTCCCTCCCACTTTTCTTGTAGGGGTTTTCCTAGAAGATTCTTAACATACACCCAATCACCAGGGTTAAACGGATGTAATTTACAGTCAGGTTGCTTGGGCTGGTGTTCTATTACTATCGTGGCATTTTTATCAAAATGTTTCCCCACAGCAATTACATAATCATATATATATTGATTGCCTATTTGGTCTACAGCATCGCTATTTACAATCTGCATAGCATAAGGTCTACCATACAGAATTTCAAATGGGCTCAACCTTTCTTTCGATCGAGGTTTGACTCTCAATCTAATCAGAGCAATAGGCAGAGCCTGATACCATTGTAAGTTAGTTTCTTGGCATATTTTAGCAATTTGTTGTTTAATAAGATGGTTCATCTTTTCCACTTGCCCACTGGCTTGTGGCCTGTAGGGCGTATGCAATTGCCATTTAATTTGCAGTGCTTTGCTTATTGCTCTCACAACCTTTGCACAAAAATGTGAACCCCTGTCTGAAGATATACTTCTTGGTACTCCAAACCGTGGTATAATTTCATTTAGTAAGACTTTAGTTACTTCTCTCTCTTTGTTTGTTCTACAGGGGAACGCTTCAGGCCACCCAGAAAATGTATCAGTTAGTACCAATAGATATCGATACCCCCCTTTTCTTGGGAGTTCAGAGAAATCAATTTGCCATGCTTCACCTGGAAATTTACCTCGATCTATTGCCCCTTGGTGTATCTTGGTTCCTGTATTTGGGTTATTCTTCAGGCATCGTTCACACTGGGATGTAACTTGTTTTATGGTAGTGAATAATTTTGGTCCTGCTATTCTAGTTTGTAAATACTGATAAAGTGGATCTAAACTCCAATGTGCCTTCTCGTGTTCTGTTTTTACAAATTGCCACATTAATTTCTCTGGTATTATTAGCTGTCCTGTTTCTAATTGACCCCATCCATTATCTAACAATTTACCTTTGTTCTTTTGAATCCACCTATGATCTGAGTCTTGATAATTTGGTTGGAAATCAGTATCTAGTTCCCCTGGTACTAGAGCTGTTATAACCACTTCTTCAGTTCTTGCAGCAGCTAATTTAGCTTCTCCATCAGCTCTCCTATTTCCTATTTCTGGAACAGTGTTACCTTTCAGGTGTCCCTTGCAATGCATTATGGCCACTTGTGTTGGGAGCTGGACTGCTTCTAACGATCGTAGAATTTCTTCTGCATGTTTGACTGTTTTCCCTTGAGCAGTTAGCAGTCCTCTTTCTTTCCAAATTGCTCCATGAGCATGCACGACGGAGAAGGCATACTTAGAGTCTGTCCAAATATTAATTCGTATGCCTTCTGCTAATTCCAGAGCTCGGGTGAGAGCTATTAGTTCTGCCTTTTGGGCTGAGGTCCCTGCAGGTAAAGGATTTGATTCGATTACCTCTTCCGTTGTGGTCACTGCATAGCCTGCCATCCTTACTCCTTGCTTCACGAAGCTACTGCCGTCCGAGAACCAGTTGTCTGCATCTTCTAATGGCTCTTCTTTGAGATCCGGGCGACTGGAGTAGACTGCTTCGATGGTTTCCAGGCAGTCATGCTCTATTGGTTCTGCTGACATTCTTCCTTCTAGAAATGAGGCTGGATTCACAACGTTAGTTACTTGAATGGTTATGTCATCTGATTCAGCTAGGATTGCTTGGTACTTTAGGAATCTGGAAGGCGACAACCAATGGCCACCCTTTTGTTCTAGTACAGCAGATACAGTGTGGGACACTAACACAGTCATTTTCTGGCCCATCGTGAGTTTTCTGGCCTCTTCTATATTTATGATCACTGCGGCCACCGCTTTCAAACAGCTGGGCCATCCTTTGCTTACTTCATCTAGCTGTTTGGAGAAATAGGCCACAGCTCTTTTGTGTGGTCCCAACTGTTGCGCCAAGACTCCTAAAGCCATCCCTTGCCGTTCATGAGAGAACAGCCAGAATGGTTTTGTTACATCAGGGAGGCCCAAAGCCGGGGCTCTCATGAGTTCTTGTTTCAGTCTCTTAAAAGTTCCCTCTGCTTCGGGAGTCCAAACCAGGATACTCTTAGCTTCTTTTAATAAATCATACAATGGCTTGGCGAGTACCCCATATTGGTAGATCCATAAACGGCACCAATCTGTCATTCCCAGAAAGGCTCGTAGATCTCTCACAGTTTCCGGTTTGGGCATCTGACAGATGGCTTCTTTCCTTGCTGTTCCTAGAGATCGTTGTCCTCTGGAGATCTCATATCCCAGGTATATTACCTTTTCTTGCACTAGCTGCGCTTTCTGTTGAGAGACTCGATATCCACTTAAACCCAAGAAATTCAACAGAGAAATAGTCCATTTAACACACTCTTCTTCTGACTCAGTTGCTATTAGTAGATCGTCCACATATTGAAGAAGAGTACCATCTCCCTGTGGCCTTTCCCATTGTTCTAATTCTTTGGCCAATTGATTCCCAAAAATTGTTGGGCTATTCTTATAGCCTTGAGGTAACACTGTCCAGGTTAATTGAGTCTTTCTCCCTTTGCTCACAGATTCCCATTCAAAGGCAAAAATCTTTTGGCTTTCGGGGGCTAAGGGAAGGCAAAAGAATGCGTCTTTTAGATCCAATACTGTGAACCAAATCAAATTGTCTTTTAACTTGGTTAGGAGTGTGTAAGGATTGGCTACTACTGGATGTAGTGTTTTTGTTATGGCATTCACAGCTCTTAAATCTTGAACCAGTCTATAAGTTCCATTTGGTTTCCTAACTGGCAGGATTGGTGTGTTATAATCTGATTCACATTCTATTAATAACCTTAACTCTAAGAATTTTCTAATTATGGGTTCAATCCCTTTCCTATCTTCTAATCTCAGTGGGTACTGCTTTCTTACCACTGGTCTTGCTCCAGGTATAAGTTCAATAGCAATAGGTGTTGCTTGTTTGGATTTCCCAGGTACATCAGTGGCCCATACCAATGGGTATGCCTCGCTCATAATCCGTTCGATATTACGACTCTCAGGTTTTGGTTCTATGCAACTGATTGTCAAACTTAAAGCTGCAATCAGTTGTTCTTCATTTACCTGGAATTCGAGTTTGTCTTTGTTGAATTTTATTACGGTTCCCAAATTTTCCAGTAAATCCCTTCCTAGTAAAGGCTTTGGAGAATTTGGTAAATATAGAAATTGATGGATCCCCATTTGTTTTCCAATTTTATATTTAATAGGTTTTAGGAAGTAAGCTTTTTCTGGTTGGCCTGTTGCTCCCACAACTTGTACAAACTCATCACTCTTTGGTACTAGTTCTTGATTTAAAACTGAAAATGTTGCTCCTGTATCAATCAGAAAATCTAATTCTTCTTCACCTTCCCCTAGCTCCATTTTAACCAGTGGGTCTGCTAGGGAACGACTCACCGGTCCCCCTCAGTCACTGCTCTGATGTGCAATGGCAGTGTTTGCAAGCCTTTCTCTTAGCTGGGGACAGTCTCGTTTCCAATGGCCTATCTGGAAGCAATTGGAGCATTGATCCGGTCCTACTCTGATGGGTTGGGGCTTGAATCCCCCTCTCCCCCTCATAGGGTAACCACGACCTCTACCCCTGGCACCTGCATCTGGGAATTTTGCGTTTTGAGTTGCCACTGCTACTGCCACGACTCGAGCAATTCTCTTATCTTCCTTCTTTTTCTCTTCTTTTTCTCTGTTGTTGTATACTTCCCAGGCCTCATTCATCAATGTCTCTAGATCTCTATTTGCTGGATGTTTAAGTTTTTGTAATTTCCTTCTAATGTCGGGAGTACACTGCCCCATTACCAATCCTAGTAGCTGTTGTCTCCCTTCTTCTGATGCTGGGTCTAGGGGTGTATATTGTCTCATGGCGGTCCTGAGTCTATCCAGAAATTCTGAGGGACCTTCATCCTTTCCCTGTCTAACATCATACAAGGCTGCCCAGTTAATGGCTTTAGGTATTGCTTTCCGCAGACCTAATGCTATTAGCTTCCTATATTGCACCAGTTTCCCATAAGAATCGGGGTTGTTTGGATCCCACTCCGGATTTCTACTTGGAAATACAACTTCTAACTCTTCAGGTAACATGCTGGCATGATCTCTCCCCGTTTTTAATACTAGTTCCTTTTCCGTTTCTGTTAATTCTGATAGCATTACTTCTATATCACTCCAGTCAATGTCTAGGTTCTTTGCAATTAACTCGAACCTCTTAGCTACCCCTTCTGGATTTTTCCTAAAATTCCGGGCTTCTTCTCTCCAGCTGTTCAAATCACTCGTCGTAAATGGCACCTTTACTCGTCCCTGGTCTCCTGCAATAGGCATTATCTGTCGGAGGGGAGCTATTGTATGACTTCCCCTGATCCTTTCTCTTGCCTCTTTTCGTGCTACAGATCTAGTATAGTGTAGGTGACTAGTTCCTTCCCCAGGGTCTTCTTGGGCCCCGGTATCTATTCTATTCTTTCTTTTTTCTTTTCTCTTTCCCCGTTTCGGTTCCTCGTCTTCACTCCCTGTTCCTGCCCAGTCATCTTCTGCCAACCCTCTAGCATGATTCACACAGTCCAGCCGCCTCTCTCTCTGGGTTTGGAGGAGATGCTGTCGGCGTTCAGCCTGCCCGGGGCTGCGTTCCTCATTTTCCTCTATCTCTCTGGTATCCCTTTTATCGTCTATTTGAATCACTATGTTTAATCTTTGTGAGTTGTTTTCCTTTTCCCCTTGAGTTATAATGTCACTATCTTCTTTACTACATCTTGTCTTGGGGAAATCACCCTTCTTTTCATTGCCCCCTGGTCTCAATGGGCTACTTTCGCCCTCATAATCAGCTACTCTCCACTCTATAGATGCTATCTTCTTTTCTTGGTGTACTGCTATCTCTATTTCTGTCGTCTTTTGGTTTAGGCGGACTACTCTCTTCCCCGTGACCCTCCGGTCTTATCAGGCTACTTTTTTCCCTATCGACCTTTAATCTAGGTGGACTGCTTTCTTCTCTGTAACTTTCTGATCCCTGTGGACTACTCAGTCCCTGCGAGCTGCTTTCTCCTTGGGGGCTCTCCGATTTTGATGGGCTACTTTCTTCCCAACTGTCTTTTGATTTTTGAGAACTATATCCGGTCCTAAATCTTCCTAGCTCTAGTGAAATATCTCCTAATAGGCTAGTGTCTCTTTCACCTTCTCTCTGCTTTGGTCGTGGTATCCCGTATCCTGGAGTATATGGTTGATACTCCCATAGACTTATTCTACTTTCTTCTTCACTGTCCCTTCTTTTTAATTTAAGACACTGTTGTCCGATACTACAAGCATCACAACAGCGTTCTTTTGGTTTCAAATTTTTCTTATCCTTTTCCAAAGCTAAAACCAAGGGGTCCTGCGGTGCAACATTTACTCCGCATTCTCTTTGCCACTCAGGCTTATTCCTGAGCGTGAAAAACATATCGCAATAAATCACTTCATCCCACTTGCCCAGTCGACGGAGGAACAACATAAGCTGTAAAATAGTGTTGTAATTTATTGTCCCTTCAGGTGGCCATTTTTCATCATCATCTAGTTTATACAGAGGCCACCATTGCGTGCAGTACTTTAAGAGTGTCTTTTTGCTTATGTTTCCTCCTGGGGCTCCCCCTAGATCTCTCCAGTGTTTTAAGATGCATCCTAGAGGGGTTTTCATATTTATGTCTTTACTTTGCTGGGTTCCCATTATTATCGTAAGGTTTAAGTTATGTAGCGATTGATAAGGTTTTACGGGAGACAGAGGGGTTTACCAGGCAAACCTATAGGGTGTCTTACCAGATTTTCTTATTATTCGAGCGTCAGTGATATACCAACTGACCTGGGGATCGTGTTCCCAGACTGGTGCCCAATCAAGAAAATTCTCTATCGCTAGAGGATCGTATCCTAACCTGTCACTTTCTTTTTCTAATTTTGCTATGAATTCTCTTATGTGATACTCTATTACATCAAGCAATTCTTGTCTCTGGATTTGTGCTTCTGTATCCAACCGGGCTAGGCTTCCATCAATGTGTTCTAGCTGAGTAGCTTTCGGTATGTCAGTGAACTGTACTTTGAACCGCAATACTCTCCTTATTCTATTCCACCGTCTCAAGGTATTTCTCACTTTATCCCAACACTTCATGTACGCAATTTCCAGCCGCTTCGTCCGTTTCTGGCCTGGCTCCTCACGGAGAACAGGAACCGCAGAGCAGGACTCCCACTCGCTTCGCAGCAATGCCGCGTCTCACTCACTCACACACTCACACACTTGCACGCTCAATAAAAAAGCTTTCCTACCTTCTGGTTTCTATCTGAGCAATCTACGTCACCAAACAAAGCTGCGAGAGGGCGCCGCAGACCGTGAAATATGGGTTTGCTGTTGGCTGTCCGATCTTATGTTATCACAAAATCACAGGATGCCGCTGCAAACTATAAAACACACTTCTTACAGAAAATGCAACCAAGATGTTACAAATACTTGTCTATGAGTGTGGCGGCAATAAAATCTCACCCACTTAGTTTCTGCCAAATCTTGATTTGACCAACAGCGTATACAGTGGAAGGTAAGGGTACGATTGAGCGCTATTTCTTGTGTTCCTCTTGGACCCAAAATATATTTACCACAATTGTTACACAAAGCTCTAACATACAGTGAGCAATAACAGAAAGGACAGATTTTAATCCTAGGATTTATACGTGCCGGCAAAAGCTTATTCACTCTTATAGAACTGAGATTGCAATCATTTCCCATATAGAGTTAAAAGACGTTTCAAGGACTATACTGTATATGAAAACACAACATCTAATTTTTCAACGGACAAACAAACCGCTGCAAACAATAAAATCGTAAATGAGAGTCTCTCAGTACCTAAATAGCTTATTTTAGTTTCGTTTTACTCGTTGACAAAAACCAGAACAGTCTGCAAGAGAAACCGCATTCCAAGAATTCTTTGCTGGTACAAGGAGTTCCCTGGGTCCTAAAGCTCCTAGAAACACTCAAGCAGCTTCGGAAGAATTAAAAATGGTTAACTCTCTGATTCGAGCACAGTTTCCAATGCATTACCAAACAATATCTTGCACGAAACAAAAATGATCAGGGGAAATTAGAGCAAGAACATTTGCACACAGGACACAGAAACATAAAGGGTGAACACAGCATTACAAAGAAAAGACAATTTTACACTGCAGTGTCGGGACTCTAACCCGATCAGGGACTCTAACCCTTTCTTGGCAGGACTCTAACCTGCTATCTTTGCAGGACTCTAACCCGCAACTTTCAATACCTGGGACTCTAACCCAGTTTTAGGGCTAATGCTGAGGCGTCCCTCCAGCTCCCTTTTGGGCGATAGCGTCCTATCCCCACCAACTTAATTACTTTCCTTTATAAACTGCAGTTCAAAACATAAATACCTCTTAATTTGAAGCAGGAGGTTCTTGTCCACCGTTACGCAGATCCAAGGGGTCTGGGAGACTCTGCCGACAAAAATTCAGTCGGGGGGCCCGAGAGCGTCCCGGCCCCTTGGGTCCTGGCTCGGGAAGACCCCCTCTCTCCTGCCTGGCTCGCCAAATTGATGCCAATTTATGCCCCAAAACAAGGCGCGGAGAAACTGCTCAGAGACAGAATTTCAGTCTATAAGCAGGAGGTATTTATTTCACGGCCGGGGAGCAGCCAGGTCGCCCTGGACAAACTGCTCCGACTCGAGAAACACACAATCCAACTTTTATACACCTTTTACTAAGCAATTACATCATATATTATGAATATTCATTACATTGCAACATCTGCTTTTAATATTCATAACAGGTGGAGTTGAGGCGGAGTTATAGGCGTGGTCCTTAATTTGGGGAGAACTTCGGTGGGAGTTCCGGTCTTTCTTCATCATGAGCCTCATGTCCTTTTCATCATCATCCTCCTAAACTTTTGAACCTTTCCTAATTTGGGTAGCTTCCTTATGAATTTGGCAGAGAGTTTTGGTATTTGGCACTAATACCTAATTTCTTGGCTTGTCCCTCTCTTTATCTCTTTGGTTTCCTCTCCATATGCCTTTTTTGTGTGTGCTAGCATTTTCTGTTCATGTTTATGTTCTTCTGTGTCAGGGTGTCCTGTACCTCAGTGAATTTATTGTCTCCGCTTTCCTAATACTGAATTCTATGTGCTTCGCTAAAGCTTGCATCTATATTTTGTGCTTAACTCTTTATATTGCTTAAATTCGCTTTTCAGGTGTTACCTGGCTTCAACATGGGTGTCTCCCTTCATCAGCTCCATCTGGATGGAGGCACTGAACACCACTGGGGTAGAGGGTGCAGAACGCTCAGTTGGAGTTGCAACCTGTGCTCTCAAATGAATGCTCACCATTCTGCCTTGAGGGTCAGGTAGGATGAGTGCCCTTGAC